TGCTCAGTTGTAAAAATCTAATCTCAGCTTGAAGCTGAAAGACTAGCGAATCGCTTAAATTTATAAAGCGAGTGTTTTGGTGAGAAAATGCAATGAAATTACCGTTTAAATTTTGGTTACCGAAAATAGTCTATGGGTACCGATGCGGACATTTGCCCTATCCCAACGTGTCTTTGCCTGATTTTTGAAAAAAAAATATATAAAAAAAAGTTTATGAAAAATGCAAATATTTGAAATAATCAAATCCACGGACACTTGAAAACTGACAAAAATCATAGAACCAGAACTTTTGGTCAATATTGAAATATTTCTGAGTATAAAACACATGAACAACGTTTCATCAAAAAGTAAAAAAAAATTGACCATAAGCTCTTGTAAATTTTTATGTGTCCATAATATTAAACCAAATATTCCAAAGGTTGCAATTTTCATGAGCATTTTTTTTTTAAATAAAAAATTTAAAAAATCGGCAATAACATTTTGAGATATTTAGATTTGAACAATTTTTACTTGAAATTACTTTAAATACTGTTTTGTATATTTTTCCCAGAAAAAACAATATTTTTTCTCTACAAATTTTCATTTCGATCAGAAGTGCCGTTTACGTGGTACAATTTTTTAATAAATTTTAAAAACGCCATTTTGAAAAAAATACCGAATTTTAGCAAAAATGTGCAACAATTTTGCAAAGTTTCAATCAAATCGGAGAAGGTCGAGTTTTTTCGATTGTGTATTTAGCGTAAAAGTGTCAAATTGTGGAAACAAATTTAAACATAAAAAACTTAAACTATAAGGGTCAGCCCTATGGGGTTGTACGCAAAGGTGACGTAGGACTACGTGGTCTTATATAATAAATTGAATTTGTTAACTGCAGCAGGAGCTTGTGTTTTGGGTAGGAATTGGAATTCGAGCGAGGTCAGGCTTCCTAAAAGTACAGCCTCCTCGGGACAGTTGGTTTATACCTGAATTGACTGTTGCTTTGTGTGCTTTACTACCACTTGCTACCGTACGTTCAGATCTGAATTCGAAGAGTATTGGCAACAGCGCACGCACCAACGAATGAAAGCTGTATTAGAACAGTCGCATCTATACCCGCTTTGCTAAAATCATCGTGCTTGGAACGTAGTGAACCGAATGGGCTGTATTTATACATTTCTTTATGACCAGGTTCTCAATGTTTCTGCCGTCATAACAGCCTTCACAAACCGACGACATCCCTCAGCTTACCCAAGTGGCTGTCACGAAAAGGCTGTCACGAGACATTATATACAATTGATATACGGCAGTAGAGTGTGGAAGAAACCCAGAAGAATGATCCCGAACAGATATGTCGGCCCGATGTCGGATCAATGTAAGGTCAATTTACGGTCGACGTCGGCCAAATGTCGGGTCGATGTCGGGTCAATTATGTGTTTATGTCGGGTCAATGTCAGGCCAACATCGGGTTGGGGCTTGGTAGAAGTCAGGTTGGTGTCGGGTAGGCTTATATTTTTCACCGGAGACCGTGCGTTTTTAAAACAATATCGGATAAAAATTTTGTAATTAGCGGCGCCGGTGGTGTAGTGGTAAGCGTGATTACCTATCACCCCAGCAGGCCTGGGTTCAATCCCAGTCGGCGCCACCGGGATGTTCTGAGGCATAACATCTCTGATCACGCCTTCCTTCGGAAGGGAAGTAAAACCGTTGGTCCCCGGTTCATGAGTTGATGGGTCGATAGGTAGGGTCCAGGTGTGGGAGCTGCCTCTCTGGCGTCGGTAGCATTGGTGCTCAGCACGGAAAACAAGATCGACGGAAAACAAATCAAAAGAAAAAAAAAAAAAAAAAAAAAAAAAAAGAAAATTTTGTAATGGGCAGCACGAGCGTGATAGCAACCGAACGAGCTCCGGCGCCACACTGGTAGTGTAGTAGCAGTCTTACGACATACAAACAAAATTTCAAAGCCAGCAGCAACGAATCGGCAGTTTGACGGACTGCTTGTTGTATGTACGAGGAACGTTACGAATGACCATCCGAGGCTGTCATAGCCGAACGAACAAAATACATGACTAAGAACGAGCTGTCGTGTACTGCACAAGACGGCAACGTTGTATGTCGTATAACAGCCTCACTGTGGGCTGTCGCTTATAGCTCAATCTCAAGGCTGTCGTAGGAAAAAGAAAGCGACAGCCGTTGGAATACTGTCATGAGGCGGTACTTTTGGTATGCCTGAGCGAGGTTCTCTCTGTTTATACTCTTTAGTGGCTATGATTGCCTTGAAAAGAACCTTTTGATATGAATTTTAGTTGGGCAGTTGGGACAGCCTTGATAACTAGCTGCTCAGGGAGCCTTTCGTTGTGTACTGGAGAACAAAGTTCAACGCCACGCGCCGAAAGCACTGCTGCGAACACCACCACACACGGTGATTGGAACCGAATCCGATCAGCGGTTGAGAGCAGCCTTTTTTTTTCCTTGTCGGGTATTTCCATCACTGCGACCATTTTTCTGATCTATTGTGATATATTCCCCTTTTTTTTCTTTAGCTATATCAAGATGCCGTATCACTATTATTAGGAGTGATCGTCATCGTTTAACTAATAGCATTATCCCAGCACGGCATTATACTTCGAATAAAGTGCACTGCCGTACTGGGAGTTGTTCTCCAAATGTCAAAGGGTTCTATCAGCCCCTTGTCGAAGAACTTACGCCTTTTATTGAAAATTGCCGGACAGTGGCATAGCAAATGTTCCGAGTCTTCCTTTTCTATGCCACAGAAGCGACATACATAATCTTGAAGTTTTCCAATCAGCTTCAAGTGATAACGGCTCGGACAATGACCTGTTATAAGACCTGCATATATACTAAGATCTTTCATAGAAAGTTCCAGGATTTTGTGGGTTACAGAAATGTTTGGATTAATAAATCGCTTCGACTGCCTAGCAATGGAAGTGTTCTTCCAGTTTTCCTCCACTTTTGAAGATTCCCACGCTTTTAGCTCCATTCTAAGAGATGCAGCCGATAAGCCACAAAAGGGCTCTGGCCCGATGAACTTATGAGAAGATCCGAGTCTTGCTAGTGCATCAGCTCTTTCATTTCCCTCAATCCCGCAATGACCAGGAACCCAATATAAGTTGACTTGATTATGACAAGACAATTTTTGAAGTGATTGAACACACTCCCAGACAAGTTTTGATGTGCATGTCGCCGACTTTAAAGCATTTAGAGCAGCTTGACTGTCGGACATGACGCATATATTTGAACTCTTATAGTTTCTACGCAAACATATAACGGAACACTCTAAAATTGCTTGGATTTCAGCTTGGAACACAGTTGGCCATCTGCCCATAGGAACCGATATGTCTATCCCTGGGCCAGTTACTCCTGCTCCCACTTGATTGTTCAATCTTGAACCATCTGTATAAAAAACAATCGATCCGGGCCACCAAATTGCCATGAATTACGCCCAGGGTCAACTACTCGAAAAAGTCGATTGAAGTTGTATCTTTTCTCCATCCAGTCTTCGTTGTTCCTTACTAGAGAGTTGATACTAACAGTTTTTAGAATCCTAAGATGTCCTCTAAGGTCTCCTTCAAAGAGTTTCACTGACCTTGTAATCCTTAGAGCACACTTTTCGGCTTCTAATTGTACAAATTGATGCAATGGTAGCATATAAAGCAGAGCATCCAATGCCTTCGATGGTGTACTTCTCATTGCACCTGTTATTGAGAGCAGCCTTTATAGCTAGCTGCTTGCGGGAAGCCTTTCGTTGTGTACTGGAGAACACCACCACTCATCACGCGGTGATTGAATAAACACCGTTTGATGAGACCGGATGGAATTCAACTTTGAAATCTGTGCTAGGGAAATAAATTTTCGCAGGCAATCGGTGATAATTTTAATTATCATAGCAAAAGTTGCACATTCGTGCAATTTTCAATACTGAAATTTTGCAAAATGATAAAACCTTAATTGCAAATAGATGCGTAGAAATATTTCTTATCGATTGGTGATAAAATTATTGAAATTGGTCCAGGGGCAGCTGAGTTATTAACGTTCAAAATCTTTCATAATTTCGTTACATGTTCCATTTTTGTTTCACAAAGTGTCAAAGTGTACCCCCATATAGAAATCACAGATGTAGTCCTACATAAAAAAAAACAATTACAATTAAATAAAAATTAAATTCCTACTCTGAAAAAAAAAATAATTATTATTAATTTTTTTTTTATAATTAACGGTAAAACGTTGCAAAATAAGCACATTTATAGGAAGCAAGTTTTCTAATAAAATCTATTTCTTGTTTGTACTGAAGAAAAAACTTAACCTTTAAAATCCAATCAATCTTTGTGGACATGAAGGTTTAACATGTTTCAGCAACTTGACATATTTGTATAAACAATTATAATCTAGACTACCATTTATTTTATTTTTTTTAATAACAACATATATAGCATATATATAGCCATTCCATAGCAAAACGAAATGGTGGTTCTCAGAATTTCGTAAAAAATGGTTAGTTTTGTTCCTTATCGCAAAATATTAGAACAGTATTTTTTATGTTGTCATTAGGGTGACCATTTCCATATTAGAGTAGTCCAAAAAATCTTTTTTTTTTCTCAAAAATAACTTTAAAAAACATAATTTTTGAACCACTAGGACGATTTCAAAGATCAAAATATCAAATGAAAGGTAATTTATAATTAATTATATATTATAAGGTTTTCATGATATGTAGACAGAGGGCGCAATATGTTTTTATATTTTTCCTTGAAAATTTAGGCTTTTTTACAAAACCATAAAAAATATCAGCGATGTGCTTTTTTTCTATTTTGAGTTATATCTTTTTAAGTTATCAAGTTATCGCTCAATACTCCTATGTGACTAGACTACCATGCGTCTCCATTTAATTATAGCGATTTGAACATGGTCACGACATTTGATATTTTGATCTTTGAATCGGCCAAGTGAAGTTATACATTAAAAAAAATCAACTTTTTTGACCACCTTAACATGAAAATGGTCACCCTAAAGACAACATAAAAAAATGCAGGTCTAATATTTTACGATAAGGAACAAAACTTCCAATTTTTACGAAATTATGAGAACCACTATATCGTTTTGCTATGGAATGGCTGTATATGTATTGCAAAATGTTATTGCTACAGGAGCCATTACATTTCCCTTTTCTTCATCTCAAAAATCAAACTTTCATTCTCAATGTGATTCGCATATTTTCATTTACCTGACCCAAACACACCACGCCAGTTTCACATAAGAGCGCTTACAAATTAGTTGATTCCACATCGTTAAGAATACAAAAGGATCATTTTCTACACTTGAGTGTAATAAGAGCAAGAATCATCCTCAATGCTACCGTCGTTGCCGGCTGACGACTGGCACGATAGCAAACGGAGCGGACTCAGTCGTTGAGATCGATCCGACGCGACAATGCCGACACATTTCGTGGGACCTATGTTGCTTGTCACGTAAGTTCATTAATTCAGCTTGAATATCCTATTTTAAATTTCGAATCCTCGTTCCGCAGAGTCCTGGTCAGCATCGTACCGCAGGAGCTACTGGCGCGCAATCTGACCTGTACCAAAAAACCGGAAGCCTTCTGGCAGGATGAGCCGGACACATGGTGCGTGATCGAGGATATCGATCTGGAGGAATCCTCCGAGGATATCAACTTCCCGGAGGTACCGAAGATCTATCTGAGGAATTTCAACGTTTCCTACCTGTCGCCGACTCTGCTGTTTAAGATGAAAAGTGTTCAACATCTAACCGTGGAACACTGTTCGATGACAAAGTTGTTTATGAAACCGACCCTGAGTAGTATGGAGATTAAGAATAGTAACATATCGGAGGTGATCATCGACAAGGACAGCAATTATGAGCTGCTGAATTTCAGCTTGGAAGGGATCTACCGGAAGACGTTTCCGAATAATTTCATAAGGTTGGTGCATTTGGAGGAGCTATTCGTGAAACACAACGACCTTGTCACGTTCAACATGAGGCAGCTGAATGGTTTGATAAATCTTAAAACATTGGATTTGAGCTATGACCGAGTGGAGCAGGTGATCATTCCGGAGGCGTTGAATCTTCCAAACTTGAAAGAGATGTGTTTGGCAGAGAATAATTTGCAAAAGCTACCCATGAATATACGTCGATTGAAGACGCTGGAGAGTTTGAATTTGCATTCCAATCAAATCGCTTTCCTGGAGATGAGTCACTTTAACGGGTTAAACAATTTGAAGAAGCTGGTTCTGAGTGGTAATAAGCTGCAGATCAGTACCATGGAGCCGGTCCACCTGCCTAGTTTGGAAAAGTTGGAGATGATTGGGTGTGGTTTGAAGGAGTTGGATATGCTATACTGGAAGCTGCCGGCTTTGAGATATTTTAACGTGTATGATAATAGCTTAGTGGCCATCATCAATTTTCCGGAAAGTTTCACAAAAGAGTTGGTATTCGTTCCGGTGGGAAACCGTTGGAGTTGCCTGAAATTGGAGGCCATCAGCAGCAAAGTGACGATCAAGGTGAAGGAACGGGATCATTACTGCGAACATAAGGTGGTGGATATTTGCTGCAACGGAGGCAATATTGACTTCAATTTGGTCGATACGTTGGACAGAAAGGTGCAGATGCTGAAGTTTCAAAATTCGATTCTCTACGAAAAGTTGGAAGCAACTAACGAAAAGCTGGAGAAGGTAATTGGCGTTGTAGATCAACGGGTCCTCAAAAAGTGATCAAGAAGAAGAAGAAGAAGCAACTGTGAAAAATGAAGAGCTTACGATTGTATGAATTTATTTGCGAAAAATATAATGTTGCAGTTTGCGAAATCGATGCTACGCTGGAGTTAATTTTTATCTTCGTTTGAACATCCAAAACGATCTACGAAGGAAGCGAATTTTGACGGCACCCCACCTAAAATAATGGTAATAATAGGTGCCGGGCAGCTGTGCTGCAATGCGCGGGAAGTTCGGATTAACTCCGCCCGTGCCGTCAAATTTTGTGAGATGTGTGTTATTTTCGGCTTATTTCTAGAGTTTCACCAAAAATACAACCTCTCTCCGTCCGCTGCTGATTCTGTTGCTGCTGCTGCCGCCATCGTGGACCGGTTGATCGTTGGATGTTTATTGTGATGTGAAACGCCTAGCCAATAATAGTAGCCACCCTCGCATCGGTGTCCATGTTCCGGGGCGGCTTTGGGCGATCACGACGACGACGACGACGACGGAGGTAACTAGCGGCGCATGTAGTCGAAGTTGAATGACCCACAAAATGCCGGTAATTTGCCCGCCGGGGATTCTTTGTGTTGGAAGGTGTTGGATGAAGTTGGCAACTTTGTTGTGAAAGCCATTCAATGAGTTCCCATGAACGTGAGAGAATACATTATCTTGCCGGACATATTAACCCGGTGTTTCATGATGAGACGTTTTTCTTTATTGGGAATAAATACGACAAAATCATGATTGAAAATATGATCACTTAGTGGCGTTTTTTTTTCTAAGTAGATCGATCCTAGAACGGTAAAATAAAATTTAAATTTTAAGAATAGAACTATGTTCAGTAGAGTGGGTCACCTTAGAAACCTCCTGCTTCCCCACTGATTTTTTGATCTGTATTAAGGTTCCCAAAAACTGTCCCAAATTTCAACGAATTTGATAACAATCTGGATTTGCTGGATAATTTTAAAGTTTGTAAGGAAAAATGTATGGGAAACGACACTATTCAGTTGCTCAGTTAAAAAATTACTCAATTTCGACAAAACCTGAGATTCAGATTGATCGCAAATAGATTCCACTTCTGTCCAAAAAGTTATTTTATTATTACTTTAGGCCAACTGCTCCTAAGATACGAATAGTTTCGTTCCGTTTCCCATGCAATCTTTAAAATTCTCCCGCAAATCCAGATCTTAACCAAATTCGTTCAAATTTTGCAGTTATGAGGGTCGAAAGAGCAAGGGGGACCAAGGTGTTGTGATTCGTCAAACAAACTTGATCCACCCTAAATGTTCAGCTTACTATGTTCAGAACTGGTGCAATTATCTGTCCAAATTCCTCATGCCAATCATCATAATTGATAACTTATTTTGTTGGCATTTGAAGCTCGAACATATAAATTAGAACATAATTATAACACTGTGGAACACTGCTTTCTGGGACAGAATTTGTTTTTGCCATATTTGACTTTCTTATGGTCTCCGGAGTTTCTTGGTGTTGCTCCTCGCTCTTAAAGACATCGGAAATATCACCGAAATAGCTATTTATAATGGTCCAGACAAATGATCCTTGAGTTATTTGCTACAAATGGTCCTTGCACAACAATAACGCCAATTTCTCAGGTTTTCAGTAAATGGCCAAAATTGGTCACAACATCCCAATTCGTAAAGAGGACGGTACCTTAAAGATGTGACGTTTGCGCGTAAGTAAAGCACTGGACAAAACTATATCACCTTGCTATTTTTTGACGTAGAACTACCTGATTTCTTTATGGGGGTACACTTTGTAAAAACCAACATGTAACAAAATTATGCAAGATTTTGAACGTTAATAACTCAGCTGACCCTGTACCAATTTCAATAATTTTATCACCAATGGATCAGAAATATTTCTACGCATCTGTTAAATTAAAGACTTTATCATTTTTCAAAATGTAACTATTAAAAATTGCACGAATGTGCAATTCTTGGTATGATAATTAAAGTTATCACCGATTGCCTGCGAAAAGCAAATTCCCTAACACAGATTTCAAAGTTGAATTCCATTCGGTCTCACCAAACGGTGATTATTCAATCATCGCGTGGTGAGTAGTTGTGTTCTCCAGTACACAGCGAAAGGCTCCTCGCAAGCAGCTAGCTATCAAGGTTGCCCTCAACCGCTGATCGGATTCAGTCCAATCACCGTATGTAGTGGTGTCTGGTCGTCGGAATCATCATCATCATCAGCAGCAGCAGCAGTGCTTTCGGCGCGTGGCGTTGAACATTGCTCTCCAGTACACAACGAAGAGCTGCCTGCAAGCAGTGAGCTGCAGCCCACATGAGCATCCATAGAAGGAAGAAGAAGCCGCACCGCTATTGATCGAAATCAGTACTGCCGATGTCCCATCTTTGCTTGATTTCCTATTCATATGGGACAGTTATGCTTTTATGGGCAGAGTAGCTCTTCGTGAGTTTCTGTGGGCCATCTATGTCAAGTGCGTCATACTAAAAAGAATAAACAGAGAGAACCCCGCTCAAATTCCTATTCCTACACAAAACACAAGCTCCTGCTGCAGTTAACAAATAAGATTTATTATATAGGACCACGTAGTCCTACGTCGTCATTGCGTACAACCCCATAGGGCTGTCCCTTGTAGTTTTTTTTCTTTCGAAAAAAAGATCAAAGAGCTCTAACTTTTCCGGATGTACATATGAAATTTGACTGCTGGTTAATCTGAATAAAGTTTTAGCAATTTTAGTAAAATGGCTCTTTTTTTGTACCGTAAAACGGGGTAACATTGATAGTTTTTTTAAGTATATTCTAAATATTGTTTACATCAATTAATGTTTCTGTACTGAGGATCCTAGAGTCAATTTGTTAGTAATATGTTTAACGAAAATTATTGCATTTGCATTATTTTTTTAGTCTTATGACCGAACATCAGCATTTTGATTTGGGGTTACTTTGATAATGCTCGATGAATGTAGACAAACATGCGTGAATCTCAAACAATTTAGTTCAAGAAATATGAAACTTTGAATGAGTATATAATCAGAACACCATAAGCAATAATAAGACAACATTGAATTTGTGATGGCTATATCAGAAACACATAAGTCATGGTTCGAGTGCTTTTTCAAACAGACAAGAAGCAAGAGAATTGTTTTTCAATATGTTTGACAAACATGTAACACAAACTAGGGGAAATGACGGCTTCGGCATGCCAGACTATTTTCGGAAACCCAAATTGAAACACTATTTTCACTGGATTTTCTTACGAAAACACTTCGCTGAATGCATGCAAACGATTCTTTATGCTTTCAGCTTCAATTTGACTATATTTTTACCACTGAGAAAAAGCAATCTAGCAAGGTTTTCTTGAAATGCAACACATGCACTACAAATTGTAGCAGATTTCGAGTTGCCGATAATAGAACAGTAGATTTACATGCAGTTGGAACGGTTGCCGAAGAAAAACTGCTTGCCGACAATACTCGCTCTCACTAGAGAAGATTGGAGCTTTGTAAAAGCGTTTCAAAACAGTTTTTGACAATTCTTTCGACTGAAATTGTTAGAGCAGCTGGCAGCAAAAGATTGTAAACAAACCAATACTGCATATGTGTGCGTTCCTTAGAGAAAAAGGCTATAGAAAGAAGGTCACTGCTTAGGTTGCCGAGAATACGTAAATTCCCCTATATAAAAACTATATGCGATATCAAGGGAAATGTTAAGCTACAATATGGAACAAATGTTACTTATTCGGAAAAAAGGCAGAGAGTAAATTAAATCATTATATTTTACTATCAAAGAAACCCGCATTATCAAAGATAATACCCCGTTTTACAGTATCCTTTTTAAAACTGCATTTTCTGGAAGTACAAACAATCAAATGAGCAATAGTTTTGCTCAATTGTAGTCAAATCATGAATCATTAGTATGGTTTTGGTTTATTCCAGACTTTACCGCAAGGGGCTATATAGTGAAAAATTAAATTCTTAAATTATTTCGTCGTTGAAAAAAAAAAATATCTCGTTTGCCGCACTGTTATTCATGTTTCAATTTATTTTCAAAATCAAATTTTAAAAATTTCATCATGTCATTTTATTTCTCAAGTTGTACAGTTGTGATAGGTTTCAAACATTTTAATTTTTAATTCATTTAAAAAAATTAAAATTAAATTTCCATTGCTCTAACTTTCCTGAACTGAGAAGAAGTATTTTAATGTTTTACAAATTCTAACCAACCAGGTACTCCAATGTTGATCACTGTCCAATAGGTCAGCGTATATATTAAAAATAAAAGTAATGTTTTAATTACTTTTAACAAATAATTTGCCTCAATGCGTAAATCGGAACATACGAAAGCTTGTATGAAAAAAAAATAATTTCGACGTGGTTCCATGATGTGGCCCCTGGTTTCAGCTAAGCAAGAAAATAACGATTAAAGTGCGCAAACAGCACCAATAACCATTCACTCACAAGTACCCTTTTGACACCAACAAGAGCGTTTCATACGACGCATCTTCGGCTATACATCTTTTCACCCAAGATGAGCCACAGCACGCTTAAAATCTCGGCAATGGTTTTCAAGTTTGTTTTCAAAACACGAAAACCATTGAAGCATCCATTCTCACTCAGACTTTGTCCAAGCACACAAGACTTTTCGGGGGTAAGCTCATTAGTATAATATGCTAACGCCAATGAGGTGGTGGTGGGGATGCGATGGAAGAACCCATCAGAGAGTATCAAATAAACATGCAAATGCGCTTTTGTTGCTCTGCTCCGTTATGTGTTTAGTTAGACGAAAGGGGGCAGCAACAGCACAACCATGACCAGCTTGTGCCGAAACAAACAAGCGAACCGAAATTGAAGTGCAAAATCGAGAAAGGCGAAATGTTGCCTGCCTGTGGGGTACTTACATTTAAGCCGGTTGTCGTTGATGTAACCAACCGCGGCAGACTACGGAGGAATCCTATTGATTGAATGGTTGTCACACAAAAGCTGACGCTTGTTCTACTTAGCGGTGTTTGCTCTTGCTGAGTACGAATGAAATCTGGTGTTTCTTCTGTTGAAGTTTGCGAAATGACATTATTTTCCGCCTCAAGGGTGCCTTCGAGAGGGGAGTAATGCAACCGACGAAACGATTACAATAGCT